TGGGGTGGGGGGCTGGGAATGGTTTACCTTACAATTATCAAACGTTTCCAGAAGATTCTATAGTATGTGGTGGATTTTTAATAATTTTTTAAAGATCTAGCGGTGGAGAATTTGATCTACAAAATGTGGGGTTTCATCAAGCACTTTGTGTTTCATCCAAAAATCGTCCTCAAATGACAGCGTTTAGTTTCTAATGGCTCTGTAAATCTGTCAGGCAGCTTCTGATCGGGCCCGGATCTGTGTCATTTTATCATAATATAACAACGGTCGCTCAGATCGGAGCTTTGTGTTCCAGCTTCAGAACATACAGGATCAGAGTTTTGTGTAACAGAACTTTTAGGGCCAGAGTTCTGTTTCAAGCAAGATACTCAACCAAGATACCAGAACATTTAGGGCCAGAGTTCTGTTTCGAGCAAGATACCCTACCAAGATATCAGAATATTCAGGGCAAAAGGTTTTCGTTTAACAGAACTTTTAGGGCCAACGTTTTGATTCAACTAAGATGCCTGAGTATTCAGGACCACAGTTTTGTTTCAAGCAAGATAATTGAATATTCAGGGCCACAGTTTTGTTTAAAGAAAGATACCAGAACATTCAAGGCAAAAGTTTTGTTTCAAGCAAGATAAGCAAGATAATTGAACATTCAAGACCAAAGTTTTGTTTAAAGAAAGATACCTAAACATTCAAGGCCAAAGTTTTGTTTCAAGCAAGATAATTAAATATTCAGGACCAGGGTTTTGTTTAAAGAAAGATAGCTGAATATTCAGGGTCAAAGTTTTGTTTCAAGCAAGATACCCAACCAAGATACCAGAACATTTGAGGCCAGAGTTTTGTTTAAAGAAAGATACCTGGATATTTAGGGCAAACGTTTTGTTTCAAGCAAGATACCTGAACATTCAGTGTCAAAGTTTTGTTTAACAACTTTTAGGGCCAACGTTTTGTTTCGAGCAAGATAATTGAATTTTTAGGGCCATAGTTTTTTTAAAAGATAGATACCTGACTATTCAGGGCCAGAGGGTTTTTTTCAAGCAAGATACCCAACACTTTAAAAAAAGAAAGATACCTGGATATTCAGGAGTTTTGTTTCGAGGCAGATACCAGAACATTCAGTGTCAAAGTTTTGTTGAAAGCAAGATACCAGAACATTCAGTGTCAAAGTTTTGTTGAAAGCAAGATACCAGAACATTCAGTGTCAAAGTTTTGTTGAAAGCAAGATACCTGAACATTGATATTTGGGCCAGAGTTTTGTTTCAAGCAAAGATAATGGAATATTCAGGGCAAAAGTTTTGTTTCATGTGAGATATCCAAATATTCAAGGCAAAAGTTTTGTTTCGAGCAAGACTTGTTCTTGCAGCTATAGAAGGTCTATTTTGTGTTTGTTACTCTCTTGTAACATCTCTAATCTTCGGCGCTTATATGACCTTATTGTGTTGCAAGTGCTGTGAAACTCTTACTTATTAAAACAAGCTATAGAAGGTGTCCCATGTGGCGCAGTATGTTCCGGACTTGACCAACCAGCGACTCGTTCGGTACATCAGACAGACTGAAGGGCACGTGGTGCTGTGGTCAAAGTTGGACTTAACATCGTCCTGGAGCCGGAGTCTTTGATTTTTCGCCCCTGCCAGTGTCAGACACACGCAAGTCAAGAGTGAGGAGAGAGAAGGAGACATCTCAAGTAACGATTGTTCACAGAACCGCCCCCCCCCCTTCCAACCAACCGACCAACCAAACAAACAACAGCAAAAAACCCAACCTAGAACCGAAAAATGATTCGACGTGTGCAATAAACCGAATCCAGTCTCACTGAAAAACCTAACTTTGTAAAATAAGTAAATAGATAAATAAAAAAATTAATAAATAGATACTTAAATAAATAAATACACACATACACAAATGCATACATAAATTACAGAGGAAAAAAAGAACGAATTGACATTTCTAATTATTGACGGAACAAACGGCAAATAACGCTGGATTGAGAATGGCGGATTTCCTGTTAGAAAACAGAACGTCCGAACAGATGAGATCCACGGCGCCGTTGATCAGCTTAGCCTTGATGCACACAATCGAGACGATATTCCTGGTAGTTCTCAGCAGCTGCGTCTGTCTGTTCGGCCTATTCAGTAACCTTGTGAACCTTGTCATTTTCTGGAAGCACGGCTTTCGCGAGAGCATCACTGTCGGCCTGATGGGGCTGGCCGTCTCCGATACCTGCACAATCCTCTGCGGCGCTGTCCTGGCCGTGTGCTTCAACCCTCTGATTCCCTTCTCGGAGATCGGAGTCAACATCCGGGCCGTACAGAATCTCGTGGGGTCTCGTCCTCGCGTGTGTTTCGCGCGCGCTACGGCGCTCATCACTATGTACATCACGCTAGAGAGATGTCTGTGCGTGGCTTTGCCTCTACGCGTGAAGACAATCCTGACGCCCGCGCGGACACTCGCTGTGGTCGTGTCCATCTTCGCCTCGGTCCTCCTCATCTACAGCCCCATCTGGGCGGCCTACAGACTTGAGTGGACGTTTTCTCCTTCCCAAAATGCCTCGGAACTTACGCTAGTGTCCGCGCCAAACGCCGAGGAGCTGGAAGGTTTCAGCTTCGTCATCACTGTGTGTGTACAGCTGACGTGTTTCACCGTTCTGGTGACGCTCACTTCCGTCCTGGTGATTCTGTTGAAAAGGAGGTCACAATGGCGCGCGCAGGTCACCCGATCCACAGCCGGGTCATCGCACAGAAAGGTCATGTCTCGCCAGGAGCAGAACGCGATCAAACTGACCATCATGGTGGCTGCTATACTCATCTGTTCCCTTCTGCCTGGCACCATGCTTCTGTTCACCACTTTCCTAGAGCCGGAGTTTAATCTAGGTCGACGGTATGAGAATCTGTTCTTTAGTATCTGGCCCATCGTTTCCTTCAGTGAAGTTTCCAACGCCAGCGCCAACATCTTCGTCTACTACCACATGAACAGCAAGTACAGAAACACCTTCCGGGACCTGTTTTGTCGGGAGAGAGACAACAGGGTCAAGGTCACCCGTTTGACAGTTGCTGATGGGTCGGGATCTGTGGACTGAAGAGATGTTGGTGGTGGGTCGGAATCTGTGGAAGTTGTTGGTGGGTCGGAATCTGTGGACTGAGGAGATGTTGGTGGTGGGTCAGAATCTGTGGACTGAGGAGATGCTGGTGGTGGGTCGAATCTGTGGACTGAGATGTTGGTGGTGGGTCGGAATCTGTGGACTGAGATGTTGGTGGTGGGTCGGAATCTGTGGACTGAGGAGATGCTGGTGGTGGGTCGGAATCTGTGGACTGAGGAGATGCTGGTGGTGGGTCGGAATCTGTGGACTGAGGAGATGTTGGTGGTGGGTCGGAATCTGTGGACTGAGGAGATGTTGGTGGTGGGTCGGAATCTGTGGAAGATGTTGGTGGGTCGGAATCTGTGGAAGATGTTGGTGGGTCGGAATCTGTGGACGATGTTGGTGGGTCGGAATCTGTGGAACTGAGGAGATTTGAACGCAGCAGCTACGCCTTCTATGAGAAAACACTTTACATATTGTATATCCAAGATTTTTCGGGTTTGCTTGTTTGTTTTTGCTTGTTCATTTAGTTAGTTAGTTTGTTTGTTTGTTTATTTGTGAGCTTGTGTTTTTATTTGTTTGTTTGTTTGCATACTTGTACTGAGGTTTATGGTTCCGGGAGTCTAATGGTTAGGCTACTAGACTCGTAATCGTGAGACTGTTGGTTCAGGCTCGAGGTTCGAGTCTCAGCTCAGCCCTTCGTTGTGTCCTTGGGAAAGACATTTTACGTTGGTAGTGGTACTACTTACGACTACACGATTGTTCCCGTTTGCCATCTTCCTTTCGGGGTCGGGCTCTCAATAAATTCGGAGGTCCCACCTCTTAATAAACTTTACAGTGTTGCAAGGAGCGTAAAATTCGCAGGCCCCACCTTTAAAAAAATCCACAATTTTGCAGGAAGCGTTAAATAAGATAAGATAAGATACATCTTTATTGTCATATCCTGGCACATTGGTGTGGTGTTTCACCACGTACAGACACACACACATACACACACATACACACACACACACACACACACACACACACATACATACACACACATACAAACATACACACACATACACACACATACACACACATACACACATACACACACATACACACACATACACACTCATACACACACACACACACGCATACACACATACACACACATACACACTCACACATACTCACACATACACACACGCATACACACACACACAAGCATGCACACACACGCAGGCTTACATACAGTCAGACAAATAATATGAATGAACAGTAATAATTTAAACATTGATAATCTTAAGCTAGATCTATGATTTCGCTTTTTTCTTTCGCTCTGAGTTTTTTTGCTGTAGAAAACAGAGAGCAGATCACCTGAAAGACGGATGTATTGAGTACATTTGGTCGCTTTTAAAAGACAAGCGGGCTGACCCAGATTTCGGTGGTTTCCAGAAATCTTGACCTACACCAAAAGTGGGCATTGCCCTACCTATTGGAGAAGTATGGTTTCATTGGTGTGTATATTTGTTTGGTTATAGAGAAAACTCTCCTTGTCTTTTAAAGAAACTGAACAAGGGGCAAAAACTTTACCTTCGATTTTCTCAAAACAGCATTTTTCGGGATAGCCCCCTTGTGCTTAAAAGTGACCATGTATCAGATAACCACATTTATACTTTCGTATACACACATACTAACATACACTCACACACAAACATACACACATACTAACATACACTCACACACAAACATACACACAACCATACACACATACTAACATACACAAACATACACACAACCGTACACACAAACCCCTTTATACATGTCTATGAATTGTAAGGCACACATAAAGCACATTCACACATACATGTATACACTAAATGCACGCACACACACACACACACACACACACACACACACACACACACACACACACACATACACACACACTCCCTTGCAAACCAAAGCTCAAAGAACGAGAATGAACCAGTAAAAAGAAACATAAAACCATAGAAAGAAGCACAAAAAATTAAAGTTGTCAAACAAACTAAGCCGTTTTCCTCCTCCTTCTCTCATCCCCCCTCCCCCCCACATCCCAAATCACCCTTTACATAATATCAGATTCAGGTCTGAGTCTGTATCGAGCGTTAATTCCGGAAATCTTCCCCCCCCCCCACATGCCAGACACCAGACACTAGTTGCTCCCGCCTGTAGCTATCTAGCCCCCCCCCTCTCCCGACCCCAGGCCCCTCTCGCCCCTCCCTTCTCCCTGCCCCTCGAACCAGACACTATTAGGTTGTTGCCTGCAGGCGTTAGCAGTCAGCGGAGTCCCCAAACAACGCCAGATGTCCACAATCACAACAGAATGATACAGACACAACAGATACAACAAGTGAATACAGATAATATTATTATACAGACCCCCAAACACACTCAAACAATCCATTTTGTCTCTATTAAACATTCACCTAACCAATAACCCCCCCTTCCCCCCACTCACACACACACCTTTCCCCCTTCCCTCCCTTTCATATGACCTTACGTAGTTGCGAGCGCCGTAAAAACTCTACTAGGCTGAAACTAAGAAAAAACACAAAAACCTTTCAGGTGTAGAATCTGGCATCGGTTTCCAGTTTCCGTGCGTGTCTGGGGGACGTGGAAAGCTTTGATTTATTCATGGCTCATTCTACGCCGGTGGGGCCCACACTAGGCGTTTTGGACAACAATCTTATTGTCTTTGTCTTTGTGTGTGTGTGTGTGTGTGTGTGTGTGTGTGTGTGTATTTCTCATTTATCTATCACACCCTGGTTCCAAAAGTTCGCTTGGCCTCCCATCTCCCCAATTACAGGCCGCGGTATATCCTTTGAA